ATATTTGAAAAAGATAAGATATCTCTGAGTAGTGGTTATGAGAGGCTTTTTTTACACGTTTTCTAAATTTTTCAATTTCTTTTTTTTTAAAGATTTTATTTATTTATTCATGAAAGACACACACAGAGAGGAGAGAGAGAGGAGAGAGAGAGTCAGAGACATAGGGAGAAACAGACTCCATACAAGGAACCCGATGTGGGACTAGATTCCAGAACTCCAGGATCATGCCCTGAGCTGAAAGCAGGTGCTTAACTGCTGAGCCACTCAGGTGTCCCTTCAATTTCTTTACAATGAAAATGAGTTACTATTATTACATTTAAAAAAAAAAAAGCATGCTGTAAGTCTATTAAAAATAAGAATGCAGTTTCTTACTGAACATTATACGCAAAGAGCTTTTTTTTAAATATTTTATGTATTTATTCATGAGAGAGACAGAGAGAGAGAGGGGAAGAGACACAGGCAGAAGGAGAAACAGGTGCCACGCAAGGAGTCTGATGTGGGACCCGATCCCACAGGATCATGCCCTGGGCCGAAGGTAGGTGCTAAACCACTGAGCCACCCAGGAATCCCACAAAGAGCTTTTTAAAAATAGTATAATTCTTATTTTTATTTAAGATTTTTAAAATTTATTTGACAGAGAGGTTAACTACAGTTAACTACATCTGTACTTCAAAAGAGTAAAAACGTCTTGCTTTAATTAATTGATTTTTAAAAAAGATTTTGTTCATTTATTTGACAGAGAACACAAGTAGGGGGCGACAGGCAGAGGAAGAGGGAGATACAGGCTTCTATTGAGCCGGGACCCCCAACTTGGGGCTGGATCCCAGCACTCTGGCAATATGACCCCAGCCAAAGGGAGTTGCCCAACCAACTGAGCCACCCAGGCGCCCCAAGAATAGTATAATTCTTAATATTAATTCTTAATGTGTGGGATGTAGCGTTTAATATATTTGCATTAAAGGATGAATAAAGTACTTGAATGTGACATCTCTGTTCAAACCAAGGAAATCCTCGTATTTGGAAATTCTTTTTGCATCATCCCTCTTGAGAATATTAAAGCTCCCTGATATGTTTTTAAAGACTTTCTGTATTAAGAGTTTTTCCTTTCTCCCAGTCCTCTACAGGAAAGATGAAAAGTTGATTTAAATAAATATGGAATTAGAATTTTATCAGAGACATCCTTAAGCATATTCAGATCTAGCAATATGATATATGCCTACATATTTCTCAAAAACTGAATTAATGATTATTTAACTTACTCAGCATAATTTATTATTCATATTTATAAAGTCCTGCTTAAAATGATACAACAATTTTTTAGAATGTTGTATGATTCTCAGCCTTTTAAGTCCATTTGATAGCCTGCATATCCATGTTAACCTCAAAGAAAGTCATGTAAATGGGATAATGTGGAACTTTTAAAGATTTTCTTTGTAAAATTTCAAACATATAAGAGCAAGTTATGTTAAGTGCTAAATTGATGAATATACAGAAGTAAAGTCAGAGAAAGGAGAGCGCTCCTGTTTAGAATTAAACTAAAACATCTATACCTAAGATAGTTTCCGTAGATTTCTGGATATGTTTCAGAATAATTAGAAAAATGAAAGGTCTAGGGGCACCTAGGTGGCTCAGTCAGTTAAGCATCTGCCTTTAGCTCAGGTCATGATCCCAAGATCCTGGGAAAGGCAGCCTTAGGCTCCCTGCTAAGTGGGGAGCCTGATTTTCCCTCTTTCTGCTTTCCTGTCCCCTCCCCACTCATGCTCTCTCTTGTTCTCTCAAAAATAAAATAAAATAAAATAAAATCTTAAAAAAAAAGATCTAATTAACTGACTTTTCTAATTACTAGGGATTTGTCCTATATACTACAGGTAATTGTTTAATTTTGAAAAATTAAAATTTTTCAATAAAATATGTGATTAACACTATATTTACACAGTATGTGTATCTTTAGAATACACTTTAAAATCATACTGTGCCCCCAAATTATCATTAGCACATCATTCAGCAAAATACATTGACTTTATTCACAGCAGTATATGAACTTCTAGGGATGCTATACAGAGGTCCAACAGTTTGCAGCATTGGTGACTAAATGTTATTGATCTATCAGTAAATTTTTATAATATTCAGGAATCAATCACAGTGTCATTTTAGGTACTTAGAATTATGTAGAAATGGCAGTCAGTTTATAAGAAGTTATTTTTAAAAAACTAAAGAGCTTTTAGGGGACCTGGGTGGCTTAGAAACTTAGTCACTTGACTCTTGGATCAAGAGTCAAAATCCAACTCTTAATCTCAGCTCAGGTCTTGATCTCAGAGTCCTGAGTGCAAGTCCTGTGTTGGGCTCCATGCTAGGCATGGAGCCTATTTAAAAACAAAAACAAAACAAAAACAAAAACAAACAAAAAATCCAAGGAGCTTTTAAATAAATGTCTTATTCACTTTTGCATTCACAAAACTTATGGTACCTAGCCCAGAGGAGGTGCTTAGAACTGTTTATGAAACTAATGAATAATGCTTTTAACTAATTTATCAGAATTTGTCCTTCAACTTTAATGCCTTATGTTGTCAATTAACTAGAAATTTCAAATCAACTTACATTGTTGAGTTCCTAAAACAGCTAAGAATGTTTGGATTTTGGTGGATATGAGGGGTATAATGCATTGTACCTGACATTTTGGAATTCAAAATCTAGTGACATAAGTATTTTTAATTAGATAGACTAATTAAAGTAAAATTTTATTATGACTTTCTAACACAAAATTTCTAGGCTATGTCATCAGTAGCTACATATGTAATTATATCACTGATTAAACCTCTGAAACTTGTCAGAGTTCCATGTTAAGTTTCTTTAAAATTTTATTTAATGTGTATTTAACATGAAAATTAGTTCTTATTTGTATTAACTTTCCTTTGTCCTCAAAGTAATTTAAGCATTAATACTTATGTGGTTAGTGATTTTCTGTTTTTTTTTTTTTCTGGTTTACTTTTAAATCAGTATACTTTAACTGATAGCATTTTCTCCCAAACTGTTCTTTAGCAAAATTAAAAAAGGAAAATTAAATTGTCATGTTGGTGGTAGTGGTTATGTTGGTAATAGGAGTAATTTTGTCATCATGAAGGTATTACCTATTAGTTCCTCATACTTCTATTACATAAATAATAATTTCATCCCTATAACCTTGAAGATCATTATAGTAAATTAGTTTCTGTCTTCCTAAAAGAAAGGACTCACAGGTCATCTAAATTCTTTGAGGCTGTTATTGTTTTATTACTAGAAGAGTTCTTGCATTACAAGAATTTTATCACATGTCAGTATGAAAAGTACAATATCATGTCAATTTATTTATTTGAGAGAGACAGTGATCATGTGTGAAGGGGAAAGGGGCAAACAGAGAGGGAGAGAATCTTAAGCAGGTTACATGCCCAGTTTGGAGCCCCATGCTGGGCTTGATCTCAAAACCCTGAGATGGCGACCTGAGCCAAAATCAAGAGTTGATGTTTAACCAACCAAATGAGCCATCTGGGCCTCCCTATCATGTCATTTCAAAAAGGAAAAGTGATATGATATAGTTGTATCTGAGGCACCTAAAGAAGAATGGGCCTTGACTAAGAAGCAATTTCTACATTGTGGAATATTAACTTATTTACATCTTTAAACTATTGTCATTTTACATTAGAAATTGGTTTAAAATCCCCAAATTAGTATTTAGGAAATATTTTTTTCAAAGATAATAAGTTTTTTTAAATACTTTTTTTTAGTTCTTCCCTTTGTCTTTATGACTATATTTTGAATTTTAAGGCACTTCTTGGGCAAAAGTGTATACTGAGGGTGGGGAGGAGATAAACCAATGTTTCCTCAACTGACCATCAGGATAGGAAAATTGTTGCCAAAATGGAAATAAAATGTGGTCAATTAGTCTCTAATTTTTGGCTTGCATTTATAATATGAAGTAAGAAAAAAAAGAATATAAATATTATCATTGGTCTACAACAATAATAATCCTCAAAGATAAAAATCTGATTATATTCCTATTTATAGAACTTTTAAAAACTCTGTTTCTGTAATTCTTGTTAAACCTGAACAATGATTGAAAGTTATTCCAGGTTTGGTAAAAATGCAATTAAATTACCTTGTTAAAAGAACTTGTAAAGAAGCAATTTAATTATATTTTTTCTGTAGTCCAGATCATTATAAACTTTAGTGGAAGCATTTCTCTTTAAAAAGTGCATCTTAGGGATCCCTGGGTGGCGCAGTGGTTTGGCGCCTGCCTTTGGCCCAGGGCGCGATCCTGGAGATCCGGGATCGAATCCCACGTCGGGCTTCCGGTGCATGGAGCCTGCTTCTCCCTCTGCCTGTGTCTCTGCCTCTCTCTCTCTGTGTGTGACTATCATAAATAAATAAAAATTAAAAAAAAAGTGCATCTTATTATGTACTGTAAATATGTTTTCTTGGGATGTAGGAAATGCGTCCCTTGTAAAATTAATTGCTGTCACAAATCTTTCAGAAAATCATACTTTTTAATTTCACCCATTCTTATGAATCTTGCCCAAGAGTAATAACTCCTGTGCCTGTTGGAGTGTTTAGTTAGACGTAAAAATGTAGCCAAAGTGCTTTTCAAGATACTCTGGAGACATTTGACTTGCATAATTCACATACTCTGCCATACTTATATATTAGCTTTACATTGCAATTACCTGATAGATAATTCTCATTAAAATAATCATATAAAGGCATATCTCTCCAGCAGACCAGAAAAAAAAAAAAACTGTTTAAAGTCATTCTGGTCTATTGAATTTGGAAGCTTGAGAATACTTTTAAGCAAATCTAGCTAAATAAATGTGCACCCTGGAGAGCAGAATGGCTTTTTGTTTTTAATCCATTAAAGGTCCTTTAATTTCTTCACAGTTCTCCATCTGTCCCCTCTCAGCCATTTCCCCTCAGTGAATGAGCATTTGCACAATGTCAGTGAGAAAGTAAAACCCCCCCGTTGATTTTAGGGAGCCATCTAAGCAGGTGTTTAAAATAGAGTCTCAAGAACTCCCAAGTACAGGTCTTAATAGGGACAGTGAGCATCTAGGACTCAGTGCTTTGACCAGTCAGAAGCCAGTCACAGCTGAGGAGTCGGCTGGAGGACCCCTGGACAGATGTGTTGAGGTAAGAATGCGCTATCTGCTAGTGGTAGTATGCAGGAGAGATGCCAAAGTCAGGTTAAATGTGCCTCTGCAACTCGGAGCTCAGGGTGGACTGCCTCAGAGAGCTAGGTTAGTGAATTTTATTAATGAAATAAAACATTTTAGAGGTGGTTCCTTTCAGTTATTCTCAAAAGACAGATGCAAACAAATAGTGTGCACACTTATTGGAGAAAAGGCAGTATCCGTCCTGCACTGTGTTATCAGTTACTAGTGATGGTGCCACAAGAGATCCTTCTCCTTATCTCGTTGGACTTTAAGGAAGCAAAGAATTATAATTTTTGGTTTGTTTTGCTTTTCTGGTTTTTGTCCTTTGTTTTCTGTGGAGCCAGTGAATTTGTAGCCATTTGAAATTTTCTGAAGTACATGAATCGACCTCTCTCTGGTTTCCATAACTTCCGATGATGACTAGTTCTGTTTTAACTCTAACCATTCCATTGTTAACCACTATTTTCCCTTTCTCCTCCCTGTCCTGACTTCATATCTGCCCTTAAGGAAACATGTGAATTAGAAATTATTACTCATGCTGTTAAATGAAGTTAGGGAAGAGTCCATAACTTGAAAACTTTAACATCTACTGTAATGATAGCCACGTATACTGCAAGAAAATGACCTTTATGTTAAAAACAGTTCATGTTGTGTCAGAGTGGATGATTCCTGTTTTTTGTTTTGTTTTGTTTTTTAGGAAATTTTAACTCTGTTGCCTGGTCAGTTATCTCAAGAAAATTATTTCTTCATCATTGAATGATAACATTTATTTAATCAATTTAACTGCAAAAAAAGCTGTCATTGGAAAGTATACAATTCATAATTTATTCAGGTTCATTTCATTTTGAGAGTGGAAAAGGTAAGGATACATTTCATTTCACATTAACTGAAACTCTAATATAGATATAAATCATCCCTAATGCAGCCATCAGCCATAGTTTCAATGTGGTGGAATTCTTCCTACCTTTCTATAATAATTGGTATTCAACAGTAGGTATCTTTACGTTCTTGGATATTTCATGTACATATTAAATTTTATTCTGAGGACCTAACTTCATAGAAACATAATTAGAAATAAGGAGTGAGAGACAGATCAATTTGGAAGAATCGTGGAAGGTAACTGGTATTATACAGAAAGAAAAAAATCTAAAAATGCTAGCTCTGAAGTAAAATTGTTTTGGGGTTCATTTTTTTGCCACTGGTTCTACAAGGTCTGACAAGTTATTTAATCCTCAATGTTTAAAATCAGTATACTTGGAATTATAGGATACCTCTTTCTTAGGATCGTTTTTTTTTTTTTTTTTCTTCAAATATCCTTATGCTGGATCTAAGATCCCTGAGATCAAGATTTGGGCTGAGATTAAGGGTTGGACACTTAACTGACTGAGCCGTCCAGGCATCCCCTCAGGATTATTTTAAAATTAGTTAACCTAAACATTAGTACCTGATATATAGTATGTACTCAATAATAGTTTAATAGTATTTTTAAAAATTGAGGCCACAGAGGGTAGCCAGGACTAGAACAATACAATGGATACATACATGGTCTCTGGAACTAGGTAGATCTAGGTTAAATCCAGGCTCTTTGCTTTCTTGTTTTGTGACCATGGTGATGCTGCATAACCACTCTGAGCTTCAGTTTTCTTGTTTGTAAAACTAAGAAGATGAAAAAGAATCTACTAATCTTAGGATGTTTCACAATTTGAGCGTCCTTCTTTTTGGATAAGACTATACTTTTATTCTTTAGTAATGGAATAGAATTTGCAGGATACTGAGAGACCAAGACTAGTCAGAAGGGTTTCTGTCTCCTTATCCCCCAGTTACCACTTTGGCAGAAAACACCCGAATATTCCTTGCACTGCTCCTAGCTGTCTTCTGCAGTTCCACCTATCCCTGGGTCCTAAAACTGCAGTTGCTCACTTTGATATGAAGGTGAACCCCAGAGAGCTTTGCTTGCAGCTTTTGATTGGGCTCTGCAAGTACAAGCAAGAGATGGGATGTAGGAGACAATTGTTCCACTCCTTTTATTTTTCTTTCAGAGATTAAGCTAAATGACTTTAATGTTTTATCTGTATGTTTCTTTCTTATTACTTTGTCTGGGAGAGTGAGGGACCAGTTTTCCCCTAATCATCATGTTCATCTCCCCCTATGCACCCCATTTTAGAAGAATTAGCAAGCATACATTCTTAGAGAGAGCTTTTCCCCATATGTGGCTCACAAAATCAGTCAGCAGACCAAGCAGAATCAACCTTACCTGCAAACTTGTTAGAAATGCCAATTTCTGGCTTCACTTAAGATGTGCTAAATTAGAAACTCTAGAGTCATAGCCCTGGAATTTGTGTCATAATAGTCTCTCCAGGCTTCTGATGCTGACAAAAAGTTTGAAAACCATTGCTTTTAATGTAGTGTAAAAGAAACCAACTCATCAGAAACCAACTTTCAAAGATCTTTCAGATGCTGCACATTCTTCCCCATTGACATAGGTAGGCTTTTGGAAGAGGACCAAAGATCTTAGCATGCCTTCCTTAAAATCAATAGTCTATTAATTGTATCAGTTTCCCGTGAGAAATGGTTGTTACAGGGCAGTATTAGAAGATCTGCAGATTCTTTGTAGGTTCTCCGCCCAAGTATCACCTGACATTTTACTTCCAAAGATTCTTTTGAGCAATCAGTGCTCAGAACATAGTATAATTTTGATAAATGATAGTAATTATTATTACTTTAAAACTAACCTTTATAATCTTTATTTTAAAACCTCCTTTTCTTTCTATATATTAGGTGCCTGTTATTTATAAGTCATTCAGCTAGTCTACTGGGGAATGAAAATATTAAAAGGCAGTACTCTACTTCAAGGAGCTTGAAATCAGGCTGAAATTCATGTTTTTGTTTGACTCATAGCTTTTAAAAAATTCATTAGGGTCAGAAATATTTGTTTTTGTTCATTGCTGTTTTGTTCATTTTATATTACCTGGATCTTGGTCAGTGCTTAATAAATATTTCCTTAATAAATGAATGATTGAGTATGTGAGTCCAAATATCTAGGGAAAGGAATGAGCTGAGGTTCTTTTTCTGTCTTACCTTTTTTACCCAAAAGGACTAATAGCCTTTTGTGTTTAAATTGAATAAGACAGGTGGACACTTGTGCACAGTAGAGATCCAGAAACACTAGTCCTGCTGTTTGCACACTGATTTAAGACTAACTTAGGTGTCCTGCACACCCATCTAAACACAGTCATCTCAGGCTTGACATTTCAACCTGAGGTGTGGTGCTCTATTTTTAAATGCTCGTGCCAATGAGACAAAGATCTCCCATCTCATAAGTTCACTATGTTCTAGAAGAGTTTTATTGCACATAAAGCCTATGTCTCAAAAGAATTTGATAAATCAGCAGGATTTTGCCTTTTTAAAAAATATTTGACTAGGGTTTCTATAATAAATTAGGCCATTATCCAGCCTAATAAGCAATCAACCCAATGCTATTCATTTGGAAATCACTGTAATAGGGTGGGAAGGGACAGTGGACAGGGACAGGAAAATGTAGTTCTGTGCTTCAGCTTCAAGAACGCATTAAATTGTTTTTGGATATTTTTAGGAAATACCTTATATCAAAAGCTTTTGTGTTTAAGTCTCAAAACGTATGGGCGTTTACAGCCTAATCTTCAGAGAGTAGTGCACAGACACACAGTGAAGCTACAGGGTGTAAAAGGGGACAAAATGCACTTGTCCTTCGCTCTGCTAACCTCAGATCAAGCTGTGCTTTTATTCCCTCAGCTGACTGTGAAGCAGATTGGCTCCGAAACTCAATATAGTTTAAAACACACACAAACCCACTCAGCTAATTAGCATATTTGGAAAGTGTTTTGAAGACCTTTATTTGGGGCAGCATTCAGGAAGCAGCTCAGACCTGAAATTACTGCAGTGGTATAATTATTTATCTTAGTCTTTATAAGGATCGGATGTCTTTTTGATAATCATTTCAGAAAAGTCATCTGATAGACCCAATAATTCTTCTTAAAGTTGGCTCATTGTTCTTTCCTTGAGTATCTTAAAAGGAAACATTTTATTGAAACTCCTGTGCTGTTATTTTAATATTACAAACCCCTTTATAAAATATCTTACCACATATAAAACTGAATGACATTGAAGATCATATTCTCCTTGATAAAGAATGTTCTCTTCCTCTTCCTTCTTTATGTTGAATTTGTAAACACTTAACCTGAATAGGGTTCCAAGTCTGGCCCTTTAGTCTTAGTCTCTACTCTGTGTAGTTTGGGCCGTGCCTGTTTGTCTCACTTTGGGGCTCTTGTGCAGGACCTGGCCTGGAGAGGGACTCAGGAAATGGTCAGTGAGGGTGAAACGAAAGAATAATTTGTGTATCAAATATAAACTCCTCTGTCTGTCTTTCTCAGCCTGTCTCTGTCACCTATGCTTCCTGAGTCCTTCCCAGCTTGGTAGGTTAATGTCCTCTCCCCAAGTGGCCAGATACCCCACCTAAATCCTAGGTCTAAGCCATTGCATGTGCTGCTTTCTTGATGAGAAATGGCCTTCTACCTTTTAAGGACCTCTTCAGCCCACCCCTTAAACCCGAAAGTCTTTTTCTGATCTCCCCTTCCCTAAAATCTTGTTTATTTATTTATTTTTTGTTTGTTTTTGTTTTGTTTTTTACATTTTTTAAATTTAAATTAAATTTGCCAACAAAAAATCTTGTTTAGCCTCTGATGTCCATAAGTAGAATTAAAATATTGGGCTGAAGCTATTAGTACAGGGTCTGAGGTTCTGAAAATTCAAACAAATAGACAGCTAAAAAGATAATTAACTTACCTCACGGTTTTTTTTTTTCCCTGATGTTGACATGTTGTTTATGTCAGAAACAGTGTCTTTTTCCTCTTATCACCAAATCAACTTAGTACAGTGGACTGTTCATGTTGTGGATAACCACTAAGTAATTGTTGATTGATGGAGAGTCATAACCAGAGG